ATTATAAATCCTGTTACCATGATTTTGTTTTTACATTTTTGAAAGTGTAATTATATTCCAACATATATTTAAAATAATTGTGCTTGAGGTGGCAATTTACTACCACTTAAACACATTATTTTTCTGATTCATGTTTAAATCTTGCAGATTGTCCTGTATAAATTATCTTATGAAACTGGCAAAGGCGCCAATTTCGTAGCCCGATTCAATTCATCACACAGTTTGTTAATTTCTTCTGCTCAGCATCACACTGTAAGTGAAAGTATAAATACAGAGTATGTCAGATAAATGCTTTGCTGCGTTACCACATTTGTAAATGCGTTCCAGAGTGCGGTTCTGGTAAAGGTCCACATCACACTGGTATGCTCGAAATTATCCTGGTAATTGGTGTGTGAAAATGAGAGGGGAGAAAACGAGCGAGGGCAGGTCACATTCTGATTTGCAGAAATGCTGATCCGTAGCCCAGAGTGAAAACATTGACTTAGCAGTTTTCATAATGTCAGTTTACGCAGCACACACACATACACACCGCATGGGGCCGAGGTAACAAATTTTAAGTGCATAAGTTCGACTGTAAATCACATGCAGAGAGAAAGAAACACAATGCTGGAGCGCTGGCATTCGCCATCATTTTAGAAAGCTGCTTTGTGGCTTTCTTGGATAACTAACAACTAAGTGTTCAGTAAAAAATACTGCCCTGGTATTCAGACCCAAACAATTAGTGTTGAACTGAGGCAGCTGTAGTGGTCTGGATGAATCCCAAACAGGACTGCAGGAGAAATGTTTGCTCCTCTTGGAAAGGTTAAGGGGTGTGTAAACATGTTTGCGTGAGCATGTGACACCTGTAAACGGGCGACGAGTGCAAAGTCGTGTTCTTTTTTTAACAGTATAAATACTTCATGCATTATTTCCATATTTACATGCTCCACATTTAAGAGATATGTGAATGCAAATGCTCTCTTAATATGCAATACCAGCCACTCCTTGTGATAAGTTGCCCTCCGAATCCTCTGCTAGCTCAATAGAGCAGCATTATTATTCATAAACCCCCAAAAATGAGCTATACTGTTCTCATATATATGGTTTCCATTAAAATGTCCAGGATGCTTGTGGTGCACAAGTAAGAAGCTGAAAACCACTTAGCAGAGCAAAACAAATCCAACACTTCTACCCAGACAGAGTTACTGGCAGCTGAGGGACCATCAGTGGCATATTAGTAATTACCCTCCAACAGAACGGACGACGTCGGGTGACCACACATCAGAATTCTGTTCACTCAGCTGTCGGACGATTATAGGAGAAAACCACAACTTTCACACCTCTGAACTCAGAGATTATTCTGTCCATTTCAGTGTATGCGAAAAACTTTATAGTCCGTCACAGTGGCCCCATAAAGTACTTAAGCCACTCTTAAATTTATATTGGTATATATACTACCATTTAAAAGATTACATTTTTTAATTTTATTTAGCAAGGATGCATTAAATTGTTACTAAATTGTTTTATTGATTTATATTTCAATTCATCAAGGAAAAAAATGATAGTTTCCACAAAAATATTAAGCAGTATAACTGTTTTTAACATTGATAATATTAAGAAATATTTCTTGAGCAGCAAATCAACATATTAGAATGATTTCTGAAGGATCATGTGACACTGAAGACTGGAGTAACACTGGAAGAATAAATTACATTTTAAAATATATTAACACAGGAAAGTTATTTTAAATTGCAGTCATATTTCACAATATTACTGTTTTACTGCGTGGCTGCTAATGTCCACTTTCCAGCAGAGTTTAGCTCCAACCTTGGTCGAACTCACTTGCCTGTAACTTTCTAGTAATCCTGAAGACCTTGACCAGGTGTGTTTGATCAGGGTTGGAGTGAAAACCTGCAGGAAAGTGGACCATGAGGGTCTGACTTGAGAACCCCTGATATACAGGGTGCAAATTACACAGTGACCGTCAGGGGGGTCAAAAGATTTGGGGGGGGGGGGGTTTTTCTATT